ATTATGTTATCCTTCTTTTATTCTTTAAAATAAAAAAAAAAAAGAGAATCAATTTGGTAAAAACTTCTCAAAACACTATAATATTAACACATAAAGTGATAACGTTTGGAATTTCCCTCAAAATAACCCAGCAGTGGGAGAAAAGGTAGAGGTGGAGAGGAAAGATGAGCCCTAATATGGTAACTGCTAAAGCTAGAGACGGTTCATAAATCACCATCCCACTCTATGTAACAGAAAAATTGTTTTCTGTCTCAAAAAAAAAAAATCTATACCCCTTGACATGTTAATTTAATACACAAAAAATGTGTTCTAAGACATATTTAATGGAATAAAAATGAAAATAATTGAAGGTTTCAAAGCAGTATCTGTAAGAGCAAAAAAAAGAGCTGTCAATATTGGAAGGTTTAACTACTAATGCATCACCCAATGTAATACACAATTGCTAAAAATACTTAAGAATATTCTGCAGCACTCTAAGCAGCATACAAAATTTGAAATTCAGAATAAAAATATAAAAAGCAATATAATAAACATCTAATGGCATAATTGTATTTTACTGGTTTTTGATGTCACATAAAAGGTCAAGCAAATCCATACTAGTTAGGCAAATTAGCAGAGCTTCCAGGCAAACAGTGATACTAGTTTTCACCATTTATACTCAAGAAACTGTCTCTTATAGCAGACACTAGATGCACTGCTACAGGACACACATCTAAGAGTCGCCCAGGGCCCCATGGCCTCCACGGATACTACTATCAGTGTCCACACCCTTTCCCGCTGCTTCTGTGCGGAGACAATGCACCGTTTTGCTTTCAGCCCATGGACAGCTCCTGAGCCCTGGGCTCTGCTTCCTCCACTAATGTGAGCTCCTGGTCACTGGTGTAACATGCACCCTGTCCGCCCTGCCTGGCCTCATGATGGATGCCTTGCTCTTCTGTCCCCTGAACCCTCATGCAGCAGCCAGCATGGACTTCACACAGCCTGTCCCCTGCAGACTCCCTGGCCCAGAAGGCCAGGACTTTATACTTCCCACACAGACCTAGCTACTCAACTTTACAGTCTGTTTCATGTGAAGCAAAGAATGGAAAGCAATACATGCTAAGCCCAGAATCAAAGCAGCTCCTGCCAGGCCTCTACTTCCCTGTGAAACAGAACATTACATCAGTAGCAACTACTGTCCAAGGATGTCACCAGAAGGAAAAAGAGAGATGAAAAGTCATCTCTCATCCCTTAAAATTACACTCTACTTTTAGTTGCTACTTTTAGTTGCTAAGTGAAGATCCAGTTAAGTACAAATCATTTTCTTGGCAACTAATCTGTACACAATAGTCAAATTAAGTTCTAAAAATCAAGATGACTATACCTCTGTAAAGCAGTGTGAAAATACAAAATGGCTTGTTAAAAACAATTAAAACCACAGTAGTAGAGACCTAACATAAAATGCAGTTCACGTAGCTTTAAACTGAGAAATATGGTTGGGGAAATAGTTCAGGGGCATAAGTGCCTGCCTGGCAAGCACAAGGTCCTGAGTTCAATCCCCAGTACTGCACAAGAAGAAAATAAATAAATAAATAAATAAATAAATAAACTGAGAAATAAAAACTCTTGCACGATGAGAAACAAGGTATGGAAGGCTGGGATGAGTTACCTGCATAAGGGTACTGGTAGGGTACTGCATATGCCTGTCCATTGGCAGCATAGACAACCTGAGTTCCTGCCGGGTATGCACCACCATAGGGACTGTAGCCATATGCCTGCTGAAAAGAAAGAGGCTCATTAGAAATACAATCTTGAAACCTCTGGTAATGTATTAAAAATGGGTTTCCAGGTTGCAGTCAATAAAACATATCAATAAAAAGAACATGAGGACAATGTGGTTATGCCTTTTTTAAAGATTACTAAAGAATACAAATTAAAGTCTATTTTAAGGCTTTATGGTAAATAAGTATTGTTCTTCCCCATTATAATCAACTACCACATTTCCCCCAAAATAACACTGGATCTTATATTAATTTTTGCTTGAAAACATACAAGAGAGCTTTATATTTAGGGGATTCCTTGTTTGTTCATGTATAACAATCTACATTTTTTTCATTTATTCATGTAACAAAATTCTACATTTACTGAAGTACAAAAATCTACATGTATTCAAATACAGTCATGTCATCATCTAGAACACTGTCATAACTCTCCAAACTCCAAATTCTGGCCTGAATTTCTTGTGACTCCATTTCCTGTAGAACCTCTAGCCCCAATCTCTCATGTCCAGCAATAGAGCTCTCCTTCATAAGCGCTTCTCATCTGTGTTACCTGCTCATCGCACACTGGAGTGATTTTATCCCATGAATTCTTCACTACCTCTTGCAGGCTGGGTTTCAAAACGTTTCCATTAAATCAAATATTAACTGAAGATTTAAGAGACAGGAGTGGCAACAATAATGATGACAGATAAGAGTGAAGAACTTGTCTCCAAACAAAACAAAACAAAACAAAACCAGAAACAAAAGGGTATGGTGGTACACGCCTATAATCCCAGTACTCAGGAGCCTGAGGCAGGAGGAGCACAGCAAATCTGAGGCTAGCCTGGGTTACCCACTGTGGTGGATTGACAACTGGTGGTCAACTTGTAACACCTAGATGAACTGAGTAAGTATGGTGCTGGGTGTGGGAGGCACACCTGAGGACTGTTGTCAGCAGCATAAGAGGCAGAACTAGAGAAGAAGTTAGGCTGTTGGGAGCTGACAGAAGCTGTTGGGAGCCTATTGGAAGTTGAGAGAAACTGTAAGGAGCTGTTGGTTCTCTTGGAGGAGTTGGTCATGCCAGCTTTCCCAATGAATTTGGCTGTTTTCATCCTCTGAGGAGCTCAGGACCTTGTTGTCACTGAGAACAGCTATGGTTCACTTTGGGGGACCTTGTTCCTCACTCTGAGCATTGCTTCCTGGCTCCAGAGGGGAAGATGGTACACTGTTTAGTCTCCTGGAGAAGCTTGTTGCATTGGCTTTCCTTATGGGAACTCGGTTATCCCGATCACTGGAGGAGCTCGGGCCTCACTGTTGCCAAGGATGGCTGTGGTACTTCTCAGGTGAGCTCTGGTTTTTATTTTGAGCGTTGCTTCCTGGCTCCAGTGTAGACCCTTCAGCCTGCTGCACAGATTCCTCATCCTGCTGGCACAGACTTTCTAGATTCTACCACTGCCTTTGAATCTTCCCAGAGCAGATGCATGAAAGAGGTCTGCACAAGACACTGTTATGGGCTCTAGGTCTTCAGATGAACTCATGCAGGACATTATCATGGGATCCAGGCCCTCAGCTGGATTCTTCGGTCTTTAGTGTATGGACAGATTGCCTGCACTCTCTTGTATATACTTTTGGTGACTATTATAAATAATCTTATAAAATGTGTCCTGTATTTTATTGTTCCCCTTGCAATAACCCCAAAACCAACACACCTACATAGTGAGTTCAAGACCAGCTTAAACTACACAGTGAGACCTTTGACTGAAATAAGTTTTTAAAAACAAAAAAAGAATGATGCTCCACACCAAAGCAACAACAGTTTGCAGGCACCAAAATTCAGAAAACAGCCAAGCACAATAGCAAATGCCCGTAATCCCCCAGCACTTAGGTGACTGAGGTAGAAGCTTCATAAGCTCAAGGCCAACCTGAGCTTGAAACCCGTCAAAATTCAGAAAACATTTCTTTATTTCCCACAAGTGCCTAATGTATGTCCATTACCACATACAATGTACTCAATTATGAAGATTCATATTAGACACAACCACATCCGTACATTATCAAGTATATATGTTAGTTGTGTATGGTGCCTGTGCTCCAATTAGTCATTTGCCAGTAAGTTTCACATTCAGCTGTTTACATAGGTATTTACCTCTCATCCAAAGGCTCCCACTTGGATATTTACAAATACTTATCATACTATCATTTAAGAATTAATGTCAATAATTTCACATGTAGTTATACGTTACATTTTATAATTCAATATATCCATAGTATGTTGCATTAGACACACAAATGCACCTGTCTAGATGATGATCTTAACTGGGGCTTATTTTTGGTGTAGGGCTTATATTACCAGCATCCTGAAATATCATGCGGGGGTTGGGGGGGCTTTGTAAGATTCAAATCAGACTTGACTCTCCCAGCGCCCCCATTCTGCTTGCCAGTAGAGGCACTATTCTCAGCAGGGAACTCACTTTAGCACCAAAGCTGTCATCAGCAAGCACAGGATATCGTAAAGGAGTTTAGACAGGAACAAGGAATTTTACAGGTGCTGGGGACATCTGGCGATACCTGAAAATTTACACTGGACCTTCAAGGACTTTGACCACTGGAGTGCAAGACTGCCAGAGAACTTTCACCACAGATGTTATTAAAATCTTCCCACCTAGTGTCCCCTGCCTTCTTTCCATCCCTATAAAAGGGACACACTTCTCTTTGTTCTCTGCAGATGGCCTTATCGCTCTCTGCCTGCCTGCACCCAGGTATTAAACTATATTCCTAGCTGTTATCACAGAAGCCTGATCAGTGGTCTCTTGCCCTGCGTTTGTTAGAGGCTTATTTTCCAGTTAGGTCTTATTTTCAGAGAAATGTGGTACAGGCAGCAGCACATGTTAGAAGTTTGAAAGAAACAGGAGACAAAAAAGCCAGATATGCAAAGACATGCAGGAGAAACTCACTGGATCAAATACAGTATCGCAGTTTAGAAAGGTAGGCACTGCTCTCCTGGATGCAGTGCTTACCTTTATACCCCAGATGTGGTAATGCCCCATCTGGGGAAGGATCCAACACCCTGAGTGAACGAGACAGCACCACAGTGGTTGCCAGGCCACTGGGATAGGCTCTTGACCTTTCTCCCTACCCCACCCCCCGGTAAAAGTCAGTGAATGAGATATTCACAGATCAGAGACCAGACACATTGGAAGCCAGCAAGCAGTGCCCAAGATAAAGCCAGCAGACCTGTTTAAAAGCTGAAAACAAGGGCACACTCCTGATTAGGGACCCAGATTTGAGCACTGAGAAAACTGTGGCTCAAGGAGTTGCTGGAGTTGAAAGCACCAATGAACACAAGACCTTGAGAAGAACAGTAACGGATATGGCCCCAAAAGAGTCACCCACTCATTGTTCCCCCAAACAATGGAAGTGCTGTGCCTGTAGGATATCCTACCCAGTGTCCACCACTCACTGCAGGCTGGAAGTAACAATTCATGGAGAATGGAGAATAAGATTGGGAGGAAAGCTACAGAACACAGGAGGAGCTGCAGAGTTCATAAAGCAAGGAGAGGAGTGCACTGGCCTAGCCACACTCTACTCTCCCATCTCTACTTAATTGAAGATATCCAATCACAAGACAAAGACAGAAACTTCTGGCAGCCACACCCACAAAAATTAACCTAAGTTAAACAGAAGGCAGTCTGCAGCAGAGAGGTGGGCTCAGTAGTCCCCAGATCCCTTTACTCACAGGCAGGCAACTGAACAAATCATAGGAGGAGGCCAACTCAAGGACTTGCAGGAGTGAGCTATGGGCTGGGAAGGGTAAGAGGAAAACACACCTTAGGGACACAGTGACATTCTTTAGAAAGCAGATGTACAGAAAAGAGCTAGAGCTGGAAAGCCATCCAGATTCCCCCATATACAAGTTGAACCTTCTCCATTTGTGAACGTAGTGGAAAGAGCTCATTGGATGATTTCAAACTGCGGTATAAATAGAAGAGGGAGGATGATTAAATTTTGGATCCTTGTAACTAACTGTTATGAGTGTTTTAGGTCAAAGGGTCTGTAAGTCTTAATGAACATGGCTGACATGGTTGACTGGTGATACTATAACTGGTATGGATTCTCTCCTTGCAACACAGCAAGTAGGTCTGATTCAATTAAGCCGAATAGGAACAAAAAATATGTAAGTATCAAACACAACCAAAGCCAAGATCACATCACTGGGAAGCTAACATTAACTAAAAAGACCTCTATCCTAGCAACAGAGTCTTTCCACTTTAATTGATGGACTCTCAGCACAAAAGGGAGGGAAGGGCAGGGGAGAGGAAGGAAAGGGAGGGAAGGGAGGGGAGGGGAGGGGAGGGGAGGATTAAAGAGAAAATAAGGCAACAAGATGACTCAAAAAATTCTTAACTTCCCCAAAGATGATCTGATGGGAAATGGTGAGGACAAAGTCAAAAACCAAATGGCTAACCAGGGGTGGTAATGTATGACAGTAATCCCAGCACTAAGGAGGCTGAGGCAGGAGGATTGCTGTGTGTTTGAGGCCAACCTGGGCTACATAGTGAGTTCAAAGCTAACCTGAACTACCCAGCGAGGTCCTGTCTGAAAAAAAAAACATTAAAAAGCATGTTAGTTACTTTTTTCTCATTGCTGAGACAAAATATCCAACACCCAAAATTAAGGAAGGAAAGGTTTATTTAGGTCACAGTTTGTGGAGGTTTTAGTTCATAATCAGTTGGCTCCAAGGCAGGGTGGCACGGCACATGGGCAACAGTTCAAGGTGGCAGAAGACAGCAAAAGCAGCAAGACTGAAAGTGGGGAGAACAAGCCTCTTTTCCTCCCTTACATTGTAAGCAGGCTACCATCCCTAGGGAGAATGTAGCACTCACACCATTTCTGCACCCTCCTCTTGCACAGGATGAGGATGTTTACCAAGTGAGGACCCTGGCCCCCTGCTGAGTCACTTCATTCAATTTCTAAACTTCTCGAATTTTGGAACATGGTGTAGCCACTGCCACCATTCT